TTCTGATAATTAAGGGGTTGTCCATTCACCCAGAACCAGAACCCGAAGATCCGACTCTGCCGCAGGCCCAGCCAGACCAGGCTGGACTCAGCAGACCGGGCCTCTTCAACAGCGTAGCTCTGCTCTTCGTCAGATGTGATGGCCAGCAGGTAGGAGCTATTTCTCCGGCAGTGATCCAGGGCCTCAGCCCAGGACTTCTTCTCTCTGACCAGGACAAGCTTTCTGGTGTCTGCAAGAGAGAGACGGGAGTCACCCTTGTAATTGACTTGTTACAGGTCACACACTTTGTCTCGGGAGTCCTGAGCCCTGTGCTCCTCCAGTCACGCCAGTGAAGTCCAGGGATTTGAGCTGGAACCCTTGGAGGAGCTGAAAGAGAAGACCTGGGGTTTGCCCTGACCACCAGGATGAAACCTGCGGCTGAATTAACCCTGAAGAGAAGACACACTGGGCCCCAGTCTTGTCTTGTTACCACAGCAACTGATGAATGAGTCCCAGGAATTCAAAGCAGCATCGCAGTGATTCTGGGGCTCCAGGGGTCCAGTGTGTTGAGCCCAGAGCCAGAGGAGACTGTGGACATGTTTCTACAGCGAGGGGATCATCCAGACCCCCCAACAAGACAAGAGAGCCGTCCTCACCCCAGTGACAGAAGAAGGGTCTGATCTCACTGCAGTTTGTCTCTGTCCATCCTCCTCTCAGGCTGCCCTGCAGGTCCACCTGCGCACATCTCCGTCCACCTGCTGACCCAGGCTGCCCTCCTGCCCAGTTCCTGAAGCTGGACGCCCCCTGGTCTGACCACTGCCAGGGCTCATTGTACAGGCCGATCCACACCCTGTGACCCCGCGCTGACCTCCGAACCACCTCATTCTCACTCTGGCTCCTCACACTGACCAGCTCTGTGTGATTCTGTCTGCAGAGACTCTGGGCTTCAGTCCAGCTCTGGTTGAGTTCAATCAGGGTGACGTTACTGCGCTCTGAGCAGACAAGACAATGTATCAGTGAGTCAAAATGTCAGTGAGACACTGGAGTGATGGACTGTCCTCTTACCTGTGTTGAGTGACA